GCTTCTTTATCCCTTGTGTCTTTATCGGCGTATCTTGACGTTATCAATAACGCCTAAGAATTCTCTTTGAAGCTCGTTCTCGTAAAGAACCGAGGGGAGCTACTTACCCTGCTGTCGAGTAACAATTCAAAAAGAAGAGTTCCTAGTTGCGAAGCTTCGCAAACTTTGCCTCGCTCGTTGAAGTGGGACAAGAATCTTCGCAGCGAACATTAGCGTAGATCGGGGATTATAATCTCGATTTCAGTCGTTTCCTCGATCGCTCGTCGACGAATCGTTCAATTTCAAATTGTTCGAACGTGGGACGTCGGGCGAGAAACGCAAGGAAATAACGGAGGGAAGTAGCCTGGCGTGTATAGTTGTAGTATAGTACGTATGTGGGTATTGCTCGCCGAGATCGGACCACGGGACGAGCAGTATTATCCGCCGGTAGTGTGTTGCGATTCATTCGTCATTGTCCGTGGACCCTTTGCGACAACAGGCGAGGATGGTTCGCGGCGTGTAGGCTTATTCGGCGCGGGGAATGGTTAGCGAGTATCGCACGCGTGCGTGGGATTACGACACGCGGTTATACGTGCATCGAGAATGGCAAGAGACGGCGTGAAAAACTTATCGCTGACTGGCGATGAATAGCGCAAGGATGGAAAATCACACGGTGAAAGTTGAGTTCACGTTCGAAAAAAGAGAGAGAGAGAGAGAGAGAAACCCGAGGAGGCGAGACTTTGTTCGGATTTTCGGCGCGGTTAAGCGAGCGATTGCTGCAGATTGCTCGAGTTGTTCGCGTAGTAATCGCGGGAGAGAGGCAGCAGGGGGAGAAAAGTTTCAAACCACGGTCGAGAATATGTGGGAAAAAAGGGTGGAACGTACGAGTCTGGATAGCCGTGGGTTCTTTGTGGCTTCGCTTGGTATTTCATCTGTTTGATTTCGAGGCGATGAATCATTTGGTTGTGCTTCACCACTACTCGGATAATATGAGAGACTCGAAAAGATTTATGAGCCGTCCTTTTCTCCCCTCTGAGAAAGAGTAATCTGCTGTTGACCAATCGGCGTAACAGATTGGAAAGGTAAGGAACAAGAAAGATAGGGAACAAGAGAGGAAAAAACATGGTGGATACTTAAATGGGAAATTGTACGGCATGCACGGATCGTTCGAGCACCTTGGGAATGGCAGCCAGTCACGCCTCGGCGCAAAGACTTGGATAGGGTGACGAACGCTGGGGTGAATAAACCGAAAGGGAAGGACGTGACGAGTCGCGCAACGACCATGATACACCCAGTGGAAAATTACGGGCGCGCGCACACACATCGACCCAGCAGGCATGGAATAATTAGAATCGTACGAATAGAGAACGCGCGGCTAGACACACTTGGCAAAACACACGATCAAAGCCGTAGAGTAATTTTCGAAAATTTCCGAAACTGTTCTGCACGACAGGAGAAATTCTTGATAGGATTGTACCCAAATGTCTTCGGCTCGTAGAAATTTTCCCCACCGACTGTACGTCTTGCCTGGGGCCGTGGAAAATTTGGCAGGAACTATTCTCCCCGCACGTGTGCCTGCTGAATGTTTTAAAACGCAAAGGCATCGTGTTTCATTGTCGCCTCCGTAATGAAGCAAGTAGAATTATCGAACACGCATCCCCATATACGGAATCGTGCGGAATTTCGATCAGTATGGCGGAGAACTTCTTCACAGACTGTACCGTCGTTCGGTAATTAAACGGAAGATAAAAAGCAGGGCTGATAGAATGCGACGAAGGTTTATTTTGGCGAGACGCCTGGATTACGGGAACCCGTCGTGCTTTAATGCAAGGAGGCTTGCTGCCTGACAATAAAGGGGTGAATAAGCTGCAGACCCTCCGGTAGGCAAACATATAGCAGCCCGTTATTGGACACGCAGACTTTCAAACGCTGTGAACTTCGATTAGAACGTCGGTCTATTGTTCGACGAGCAGTTTAGTTTACCATTTTCATTCCACTTTGCAATTCTACGTCATGTATCTGTTAACTTCTTTTCTCTCACGGTTGCTCTCCGTTCGATCAGACAAGTTTCTGAAAATTGTTCTACGAATTCTTTTCGCGTTTCAGAGTTGAATTTCTTTCAATCAATGACAAACGTGGTAAATCTTCCAAACCAGGAACACATTGCAGAAGACATTGGAAACGGCTTGAAACGGAAATTTCTTGCCTCCGCTGTACCCACCAATGACCGTCTGAAATATCGACGCGGAGCGTTGCCTCTATGCGGCTCGGATTGGTCCATCGTGTCTTTGTATCGGATAGAAGTCCGCAAACCTACCGGCTGTTCCCGAAACAAAAGCTATATACGCCCTTTCATTACCGAGGATTGTAGCCACGTTACTCGACTCTTTTCCCCCTGTTCCCAGTAAAACGCGAACAGCCCCGAAGAAAAGACGAGCAATAAGGCACTCTTTTATCTCTCGCAAGTAGTTGGTCCTGCGCCTTTAATAAGCCTCATTTTAGAAAGCGCTCCCTTTCTCATTTGTCCTTATATATACATATATATATATATATATATTTTTTTTTTTTTTTCAAAAAGTTAATATTTCAAGGATGTTGCAAAATCATCGAAATTATTCAATTAACTATTCCTGTGTTGATTTAGTGGCGTGACGATCTTTGCTTAATAATTTCTGAGGTTGACGTTTCGATCACAAATATTTGTCTGCTTTTGAAATCCGTTCTACCGCGAAAGGTTCGTGACAAATTCTTCAGCCTGCGAAGATTTTGCGCGGCTGTTTCATCGTTTCGACAGACAGGACACGGGGGAGACATTCTGATGCATGCACATTTCGTCATGTGTACCACCACAAACTTGATCTTCAGGTCACGTGTACCACCATTATTTCTAATAATATTACCACAAGTGGTAGACGATGTGATAGCTACTCCAAACAAGAGAACTACTTATCGATTGATGATGTAATGAAAGATTGTGTATAATATAATATTGGCCTGAACGAAAACAAAAGGGAAAAATCGCTTGGTGTTAACCGAGTTAAAGAACGCGATTAGATGTCTGATCGAGAAGCAATTTGACGGAATTTAACGTCTTGTTGTTGCAACAGAAATATAAACCGTGTTCTCCGTGTTTCTGGCCGATCGAATTTATAAGTCAGAAAGGTGGCAACGATTCGCGAATAATTGAAATTCAAATTGGACTTTAATGAACGTTCGTACACGTTTTATATTTATTACGCGTGTAAGGCACATAGTGTGTTTCACAATACGAATTACATTTGTACAGTACACTATGTATTGTATTAAACGAGAGTATTCGAACGTATTCCTAGAGATTACAAAAAAAAAAAGAAAAAAAAAAAAAAACCGATCGCAAAAAGGTACATTGAGTATAATACTAAATGTAAACAAAAATAAACGGAGAAAAGGAAAGAAAAAAAATAGAAGAATAGAAAAACACGGTGTGAAACTGTACATTGGAAAGATGCGCGTGAAGATGCATTTTGATTCTCGTACTTCAGCTTAGGTATCACTCAAATGACGATGACGTTGATTATGAATTCATGAATCGCTCGAGGACGGCTGACATCCACTTCTTCCGCTTCGTTAGCCTGACACGAAGAACGAAGCTCTGTTTTAAAGCACACTGCTCTCTCGTCATTCTATCATCTTGAAGAGAACGCACGAGAATATCATACCGAAGAACTGTAGGAACAAAAAGAAAAGAACATTAACAGTAACATTAGACATTAGTAAAAAAAAAAAAGAAAAAAAGGATCGTACGTCTCTCTACATACGAGACTTTCGCGCGTAATTTTTGAAAAGATTCAATTGGACAGCAGTCGAAAAAAAAGGCAGTTTCCCTCGCGTGTTTTATTTATTAATGAATTCTCGTTGGTGTTTGAGTCGATTAAAATGCAAATGAAACGGAGAAAGTCTTACCATCAAGCACGCGACTGCAATACCGGCGCCACCCATGATTGTCGCGTGCTTTTGCATGTAAATCTGCGTGCCATTGATGCAACCGACAAGATAGGCATTCGAAGGGTTCACTGTGTCTGATCCAGCGTTGCAGTTGAATCGCTGCAACAGAAGATCGATCGGTTCGCCATGAGAAATAATTCGGCTTGAGAAAGTCGATTGGACCGGGTGAAAGCGTGAGAGGCGATGCTCGGCATGCTCGGAGTACTCGATTAACAGATTACCACGGAATGAATGCTTTTCTGAAGTGTAATCGATAGGTCGTGCTCGTTTCGAAATTCCGTGCAAAACCACTCGAACTAGGCTTTCCTAACAGACCGTCTCGAATTGCAAATACTACGGATTGCGATGGCAAATCGTCGAGTTTTTATCGTTGATCGATAGTGCGGCAGATGTCTACCGAATCGGCCGTTGGTATTTTCTCGCTGTTTTCCAATTGCGATTTAAGAAAAAGAGGAATATTTAAAGAACCGTGTTCATTTCTTTCTTTCTTTCTTTCTTTTCAACGCGAATCAAAAAATAAATAGTTATATTCACATTGTTTGTAATTTTTCGCCAAATTATCGCCCACGAATAATCCAAGTAGATATAAATTGAAAGTAATTATAGTCAAGTGCCAGACAGATTTAATTTTTTTCTTCTCTCGAGATATCGTTGAATCTCATCGAGGCAATAACACGAGAGACGAGGTATAACGAGAAGTTGCGCGCGATGGGTATCACACGTAAATTACCAATTACTGCAATTATATATGCACGGATTCGCCGACGGCTATTTCGTCTCCGAGAACGAGCTTGTTAAGGAAATGAATCTTTACCTGGCCAGGTTGAATCTCGCGGCAGCAACTCTCCGGCACGTTGAGCCCCTGAATTCCCCAATCCCTCCAGCCGTTTACTCCGCAGCAGTGGAGCTAAAAAATCAGTCAGACGAAGAGTCAGACGAGATCTCTTTTCTTTTTTTTTTTTTTTTTTTTTTTTTTTTTTTTTT